CCATCCTCAGATTGGTTGCCTTTTTAAAAAAGTATCTCCAGGAATGGATTTAGTTTTTATTTTTCGCAACACTTGATTTCTGAATTAATTATAAAATAAACTATCAAGAAATGTGTACCAGTGGTGAAAACAAAGAACTTCAAAAACTGATTCCAAAGAAAATTTGACTCGTTAATAGCGGTGGTGCGTCTCAAGCCGCTTCATAAGAGGGACGGCCCCAAAATATAGCATTTGATCACAAACGGGTGACGGATCCTCAAAGGCTAAAACTTCATCATCTTATTTCCGAACGACTTCATATTGGAAATACAGCAGATATGAACTACTCCCCAAAACAGAAGCCACTGTGATTTCCACGTACGTCCAGATATGACAATTTCTAAAGAGGAATCTTCAATTGTGTCCTCCATGTTTTATAGTTTTCAGTTCAATTGCTGTCTCAAAGTAACATACGAATGTGAATGATTTAGCGAGGAATTTTGGAAGCTTCCAAACAACACAAAGACTGTTGACTTAAGTCTTATAACCATATTTCTTGTCATTGTGGTTGAAAATACGCATCTTTTCCGACATATTCAATAATTTACAGCTCATCTCTGCAAGAAATAAATTCAGGTAGCAAATCTTCAAATCTAATCTCATAAACCTGAATACTTTTTCATAAACTGTGTCTATAGAATCTCCTCAAAAACAAAAAAAGTTACATGATCACCATAATGAGACGCATACAAACAAACGATGTCGCCTATCACCTTCAAATGCTAGACCATCAAATCCCTTCTAATTTTGCATAGACGGGCCCACAACATTGCAATGCTATGTGTGTGCTGTCGCGTATATCCGTCAATTCGCGGTGCCCACGCTAGGTACGATGCTTTGTGTATGTGTTGTCACATGTGTTTGTACAGTATCTCATTTATCTTCAATAATTGTTCATATCTCCTGTACCTCCAATATATCTTACATTTCTTATATCCCCGATAATTCCTATATCTCTTATGTGTCCTATACCTCGAGTATCTCTTACCTCTCCTGCATCTAGTATAACTTTTGTACCCCTATACCTACTATATCTCCTACACCTCCTATATCCTTATAACTCCTATCTCTCCTACATCTTCCCCTCTGGTATTTGATTGAGTTTCCAGGAATACTCTCAAAACACATCATATGCTTGAGCACCAGTAGAGTACCGAAAATAATTCACTTTAGATTCGAGTACCTCATCTTGAAGACTTTCTTACAACCTTCATGACAAGATCTTTATTTTCGCCAAAAAATTCTTCCCTAACTCAAAAAATAAAGCCACAACATTGCCACAAACCAATTTTTGATTCGGACTCCTCATCCTCGAAAATTTCTAGCTCATTTTATTAACAGTGTCGATTTTGGTATCATTTTGGCTGCAGTTATGACTGTGATCGCTAAAGTGTATGAGCATGTGTAACGGAGTAGTTCAAAAGAGTATTTCAGCCACCATGCTAACACTAACGCTCGTTACGCACCTCCACACAACTCTCTCCACCAATCACCACAAATACAATACCCGTCACCGACAACATGCAACTCACACACGACATTTCATCGCAACGCGCACAACCTCTAAAATAAAAAAACTTGTTTTTCATTGTTCAGCTTATCGACAAATGGATGCTCCAATGAAAACCCACTCCCTGATATAGACTCCAAGCCCTCAATAACCTGTAACAAGTTTTCGCCATGACCCGTAAAACGCGAAAAGTAGAGAAACGCGTTTCCGTTTGATTGTTTTTCCGCCGAATCAATGTTCAGATCAAGAATCCAACATCGGATTTGGATTTCTCGCCCTCCATAACCTATAGCAAAGTTTTATCAGAATGATCGAAAGCCCGAAGAATAGAAAAGCTCCTTTCGGATTGATTAGTTTCCCGACCAATAAAAGCTCAGATCAAGGATCTGACCTGAGATTCGGATTTCTCACCCTCGATATCCTACAGCAAAGTTTCATCAGAACGGCCAAACACCTAAAAATAGAAAAGCTCGCTTCTGATTGGTTTGAACAGACAGACAAACTTTAAGCGTTTTTTAACCGCTGTATACCCCTTTCTTTCAGAAAAGGGAATACCTTCTTTGCAGATATTGAATAATCTATTAAAACTACAGAACAGTTTTCGAAGGAAATTTTTATTTTGGAGAACACATGATTTATAACGCATCAGATAAGGAAACTATTTTTTTTCGGACGTTTGTTTTTTCATTAAGTAGAGTTCATCGTCGGTGAAGGTTTCACTCATATCGAGACGCTTTGCTTTATTCAACAAAATCTATGTATCTGGTTCTAGTTGAATCCTCCGTTTACTTGCTTTATTGAATATATGCATAAACAAAGAAAACTATCTTAATGTATTATCAATAATTAGTTAAAACCATCCAAATCATTAATAATTAACTCGGTATGACAAATAAAGGAGAGATTCTTTTTTCTTAAATGTATTGGAATTCATATATGTTTGTTTGATGTTAGGAATGTCATGAGATATAAAAGCCCTGCTGTATTAAGTGAAGATGGTATTATCGGTGCAGATCTTATGATAGATAGTAGTGAAATATTATCACGTTTCTCTAAAACTTTTTTTCATTATAAAACTCGATATTTATTCTATCATTATTTGATTCATTTGGTGATGTAAAATAACTTAATCGATCGTTAATATTCATTATCTATGGAAATTTATTTTATAATCATAAATAAAAAATCTCTGAGCATTCAAGATATCATAATATGTCAATATTGAATAAACCATAGATGAAACCCAGTGATTTTTCTTGAGAATAAATTTATTCGTTTTGTTCGTAATAACTTCTATAAAACGTAGAACTCGTTTCTAATGAAGTGCAATGACATAAATGAAGATAGGTAGACTCACAAAAGATTTACATAGAGAAAATCTGTTCATCTTTTTTTTTCAAAAACAAATCTCTTGTAGTTTCTCTTTCATTAGGATTTATTTTATTCTTTAGACCTATTAATCCTTAATTATAAAAATCAAATTCAGAAAATGATATACTTGATTTGATTATACCAATCAGTCTAGTATCGAAATTTACAATTTCAACCTCGTTAAAATAAAGATAAAATTCGATTTCTTTAATTTAGCATAAGATCATGATACCATTATTTAATATGATGTTGGTCAAATATATTTATAGTCTTTAGAATCTGCAGTTGATCTTCATATACGGATAGAAAAATAAATAAAAATATCTTTATAATTTTTGTTCGAATCAAGGATTTTCCAAAAACTTTCAAGAGACCATTTTATTTTTTGTATTTTTTAATAAGATAACAAAATAGATTGATCTAATAGTTATCTGAAACTGAATCTATCCATGTTGATGATTTAATTTATACTCTTAAACAAGATCTTGATTTTGAACCAACAGTGAGCAATTGTGTATGGCATCTAATAAAAAAAAACATTTCATACGTTCTTTTTTGTTAAACATTCCTTTTTTCAGTAACAAAATTTGTTCAACTTTGAATTTAATTTATCTCTATAGAATATATTTGATGAGTTTTGATCGATATCAAAAATTCAGTGTCAAATAAAAAGAAAGGTTTAAGAACAAAAATGTTTTTTCGTTAATCATTCTTTGTTGAAGAAATATGAACATCTGTATTTATATTTATTGAATGTTTATTCCTGACCAACAATATCTAAGTAGAATAATCCTCTACATAGGATAACTTGACCGTTTATCTAATTTATTCATATGAAATGAAATAACAAAATATAGTATAATAAGACAATAATTATGGAATCGAAATACGCAAATCATCGTCTCCAAGTAATACATTAACTTTGTATTCATCATTTCTATTTAAACCAAATGATTGGCGTCGCTTTTCTGTGACATAGTCTCGTGAAATCGGAACATCTGGTAAATCATTAATAAGAAATTCTACGATCATCAAACGTAGTTTTTCAAAACCAGTAAGAAAAGTTTCGATAAATGGCATGTCATAATCGAGTCTAAAAACTCGAATTTCAATCTTTGTTAAATATGGAAAACATTGCACAATTTTTGTTCCAGAATTCGACCTAAAGTACAAGTAATCATCGAATAATCTAAGATACTCTATTCGACTAAAACTTTGAGTAAGATCTCGATTGTCTATTATTATTGGTAAAACAAACAACGAAGTACGCATTATAAGTTTTTTGACATTTACACATGCTCTAAAACAAATAAAGAAAACAAAATTATTTTCAATTGATTATTCAACAAAATATAATCAATCGATTCTGTGTACATTTTTCTTCAAAAACTACTCTCTTATATTAATAGGAAATCTGATGAAATCAGTATCTCTTATTATGAGACATATCATCAAACAATAAGTTTTTAAAATAGTGAATGTACATAATATTACATTTATTAGCTTAAAAATTTTCATTTAGAATCATTCAATGTAAATCTAATATATTTCAACTGAAATCAGTTGAGTTTTTGTCGTTCGAACCACTTTAGTATAACTTTGGATTTATTCATCTATTTACGAAACGCCAGTAGTTTCATCAAAAATATTCATAAGAACATCAATAAATTTTAAAACTAAGAGCAAAATCGATTTATTTAACCATCGATAGTTCATTCTTCAGCCAAACCACTCTCACATTCGAAATCACCATTGAATAATAAGCGAGAAAGCATTGATTGATAAGGAATCAATCATTTATGGTTAAATATATTTCACAAAGGGCGTTTTCTAAATTAGTTTTCGACGCTGATTTTTCGAATATAACATCGATTTTGCTCGTAGTTTTAACACTTATTATCGATCTTTTGAATATTTGGTCAACTTCCTAGCATTTGAAAAATTTTATTTATAGTGAATATTCTAGAGAATTTAATTCACGATTAAGAGTTAACCACAAGTTCTCAGGCGAGACAAATCATCGTGATTTTTTTAGATAATCAATTTTTTCTACGTTCACTTTTGAGACTTTTACATATTTGGAATCAACATTTTGTAAATCTGTTATAAAAGAACGAATTAAAAAATAAATAGTTAGACAACAAATGATTATACCAGATCTGTGAGATATTAACTAGAGTGTAGTAAATTTTTAGGTAGTTGTCTATGTGATTGTTAACCTAATATATTTATCTTAAACTTCTCTAAACAATTAAACTTACAATAAAATANACACTTTGCTATAACGTTCAAGTAATCATCGAATAATATAAGATGTTCTATTCGACTAAAACTTGGAGTAAGATCTCGATTATCAATGACTATCGATGCAAGAAGCAATGAAATACGCATCGTAAGTTTCTTGACATTTACACATGCTCTAAAAACAAAAATAAAGAAAACAAAATTAATTTTCATTGATTATTAAATGTTAAATATAATCAATCAATACTGTGTACATTTTTTTTCAGAAACTAATCTCTTACATCAATAGGAAATTGGATGGAATTAATATCTCTTATTGTTAGATATTTCATCAAACATAAACTTTTATATAGTGAATCTATATGATATTGTATTTATTAGCTTAAACATTTCTATTCAGATTTATTCAGTGTGAATTTAATCTATTTCAACTGAAATTAGCTGAGTTTTTGTCTCACGAACTACTTTAATATAATTTTGGATTTATTCATCTATTTACGAAACACCAGTAGTTTGATCATATATTCATAATAACAGCAATAACTATTTAAAATGGGAGCAAAATCATTTCCACATTCGAAATCACCATCGACAACTAAGCGAGAAAATATCTGAATCTGATAAAGGATCAATCTTATATGGTTAAATATATTTTATAAAGAGCCTTTTCTATATTAGTTTTCAATATTGATTTCTAATATAATATCGATTTTGCTCATAGTTTCCATAGTTATTGTCGATCTTTTGAATATGTGGTCAATTTCGTACCATTTCGAAAACTTTATTTTTAGTGAATATTCTAGAGAATTTTATTTTCGATTAAGAGTTCAACTAGAAGTTTTCAGTCGAAATAAATCATCATGATCAAAACTTTTGATCAATTCAAAGAATTTTTTTATTATTGAAATAATCGATTTTTCCTACGATCACTTTTGAAACTTTTACATACTTCGAATCAACATTCATTAATATAATTTTTACGTAACTAAACACAATGAAATTATTTATAATATGTTTTTCATAAATCTGTTATAAAAACACTAATTAAAAAAAATAAATAGTTGAACAACAAATGAGTATACCAGATCTATAAGATATTGACCAGAATGTAATACTTACAATAAAACATCTCAAATCCAAAGTAACAATATTTGATAAATTAATAAGAGATGACAAACAATCAATATATTCACATAATTCATTTCTATAAAAATACCTATAAACTGTACGAAAGAAATAAAAAACACAATTAATTCATAAAAAATGACTAATGATTTAATGACATGTGGTTACTCACTTAATGTAAATACATTTTTTAGAGAAAAGTTCATTGATGGGCTTCTAAGAAGATTACAAGCGAATTAACATTTCTAAATAGAATATTTAAATATGATTGAACATGTTGTCCATCCATGCAAATTGGTATAAAAAAAATTAATCGAATTGATATGAGAATGAAAGCGATAATTATTCGTATCTGATGAATATGTTGATATCATTTCAATTCGACTACAATATAGATTTGTTATTTCACCATATTCATGTTGTCTTAGGAGATGTTGATGGTTCAATGTGCACAAAACAATCTGTTCAGCTAAACATAGAATGATTACTTTAACGTCTATCAGTATTTTATATTATTCTCGTGAAAACATGAGAAGATTTCATTGAACAAGAGTTGAAACACCAAAACTTACTTCTTCATTATCTTCCTCATGATAACATCATTTCAACTAAAATAGATGAATTTGTCGCAGAAGCGACGCAAAACGGTCATAGCAGGAGGGAAGGGGACAGAGAGGATATCCAAAAATCGGAACAACTATTTCTCATAAAAAGCAAGCATTGCATATTTATCGAAAATATAAAAGTTCCACGAGTACTATTTAGCCTTTAGTTCTGTTATAATAGAATGAGTTTTTTAGAATTTTTCTTTTAATATAAAATGAAAATGACCTCATTCTATTTTAATTTTGCCAATCAGAAATGGTGGTGAGAAATGTGTTCCATTCTTTGTTTTGTTGCTTCTATTCTCACTGCCCAAGTTCTATCAAACAAACAACATCTTTTCTTCTACTTACATTTTTTGGGCTTTTCAAAGGCTCTCAATCGAGTAACAGACATATTCCAACCATTATATTGTGTGACAAAACATCGAAATGAATCAAGAATTGACTTTAAATCGAATAGTCCTTTATCTGTAAGAACAGATATATAAATATCGAACTTCTTTAAATATGGAACATAATTTATCAATATTTGTTGCCAAATATTTCCATTGAATAAAATATTGATAAATGATGTATCAAGATATTCAGCAATAAATGTAAAACTAATTTGTTGAAGATTAGGCATACAATAGAGAATGATACCAAGTGAATTTATATCAAACTGTGTTAGGATTTCTAAAAAGAATTTTTTTAATGAGACTACTCTAGGTAAATCGTTTTTGTTCATAGATAATGGATTTGGAATACTAAAAAAAAACATAATTTTATGTTTCGTTTTCTAATAAAGGGATTGATTTCATTTGTACTCATATTACATACATAGATGATTGATAATGTTATTTATTCAAACATTCTTACTTGAAAGTAGTATCGTATTCTAATATAATTGGATGTTTAATTATAGCATTCATTTGTCGCAATGATTTTTGTATACGAAGAATGGGAATTAGAACATAAAACAATATCTCATCAAAAGTTTTGGTGTAGAACAATAAATTTAGATATGTAAGATTTGTAGTTATAACTGTAGTTGTTATTAGTTGAGAACAATCATAATCAAATCGAAGAGTGACACAACGAAGCGATAATGGTTTATTTAACAAAAGCATTTTACTGAATAGGTTTGTATGATTCATTTTGAAGTAATGATATTTACTATCGTAGGTTTGAAATATATGAAGCGATACTAGTTGAGTGTGTTTGTTTAATTACTTGATGACATTTATCAGTTTGTATGATGTATGACAACATCGAAATGTACAGAAACGAAGACTAGGAAAACTATATTGGTCAAAAAGGTATGCAATAGTATTTATTTGATCACAAATTTGATCGCATATATCTAACGAAATAATGTGGTGAGAATGAAATGTCAGATGATGAGACAGAAATTCAACTTGATAAAGATAATACATCGAATCGACAATTACATGAAGACGATATAGTTTAAAATCATTGAAATACGTTCATTAAGAGAATCAAATGCCAAGAAAAAATCGAATGCATTTAAATAATCAAAGATTTCACATATAACTTCGTTCGATAAATCTTCAAATGAAGTTGAACTCTTCATTTCATTGACTGACAAACTGAACTAAGAGTACATACATATGACATACATTGTGAATANTATGGAGACGCTTTGTTTTATTCGACAAATCTATGCATCTGGTTCTAGTCGAATCCTCCGTTTACTTGCTTTATTGAATATATGCATAAACAAAGAAACCTATCTTAATGTATTATCAATAAATTAGTTAAAACCATCCAAATCATTAATAATTAACTCGGTATGACAAATAAAGGAGAGATTCTTTTTTCTTAAATGTATTGGAATTCATATATGTTTGCTTGATGTTAGGAATGTCATGAGATATAAAAGCCCTGCTGTATTAAGTGAAGATGGTATTATCGGTGCAGATCTTATGATTGATAGTAGTGAAATATTATCACGTTTCTCTAGAACTTTTTTTCATTACAAAACTCGATATTTATTCTATCATTATTCGATTCATTTGGTGATGTAAAATAACTTAATCGATCGTTAATATTCATTATCTATGGAAATTTATTTTATAATTATAAATAAAAAATCTCTGAACATTCAAGATATCATAATATGTCAAAATTGAATAAACCCATAGATGAAAACCAGTGATTTTTCTTGAGAATAAATTTATTCGTTTTGTTCTTAATAACTTCCATAAAACGTAGAACTCGTTTCTAATGAAGTGCAATGACATAAATGAAGATAGGTAGATTCACAAAAGACTTACATAGAGAAAATCTGTTCATCTTTTTTTTTCAAAAACAAATCTCTTGTAAGTTCTCTTTCATTAGGATTTATTTTACTATTTAGACCTATTAATCCTTAATTATAAAAATCAAATTCAGAAAATGATATCCTTGATTTGATTATACCAATCAGTCTAGTATCGAAATTTACAATTTCAACCTCGTTAAAATAAAGATAAAATTCGATTTCTTTAATTTAGCATAAGATCATGATACGATTATTTAATATGATGTTGATCCAATATATTTATAGTCTTTAGAATCTGCAGTTGATCTTCATATAAGAATAGAAAAATAAATAAAAATATCTTTATAATTTTTGTTCGAATCAAGGATTTTTCAAAAACTTTGAAGAGACCATTTTATTTTTTGTATTTCTTAATTAGATAACAAAATAGATTGATCTAATAGTTATCTGAAACTGAATTTATCCATGTTGATGATTTAATTTATACTCTTAAGTAAGATCTTGATTTTGAACCAACAATGAGCAATTGTGTATAGCATCTAATAAAAAAAACATTTGATACCTTCTTTTTTGTTAAACATTCCTTTTTTCAGTAACAAAATTTGTTCAACTTTGAGTTTAATTTATCTGTATAGTATATATATTTGATGAGTTTTGATCGATATCAAAAGTTCAGTGTCAAATAAAAACAAAGGTTTAAGAACGAAAATGTTTTTTTCGTTAATCATTCTTTGTTGAAGAAATATGAACATGTTTATTTATATTTATTGAACGTTTATTCCTGACCAACAATATCTAAGTAGAATAATCCTCTACATAGGATAACTTGACAGTTTATCTAATTTATTCATATGAAATGAAATAACAAAATATAGTATAATAAGACAATAATTATGGAATCGAAATACGCAAATCATCATCTCCAAGTAATACATTAACTTTGTATTCATCATTTCTATTTAAACCAAATGATTGACGTCGCTTTTCTGTGACATAGTCTCGTGAAATCGGAACATCTGGTAAATCATTAATAAGAAATTCTACGATCATCAAACGTAGTTTTTTAAAACCAGTAAGAAAAGCTTCGATAAATGGCATGTCATAATCGAGTCTAAAAACTCGAATTTCAATCTTTGTTAAATAGGGAAAACATTGCACAATTTTTGTTCCAGAATTCGACCTAAAGTACAAGTAATCATCGAATAATCTAAGATACTCTATTCGACTAAAACTTCGAGTAAGATCTCGATTGTTGATGATTCTTGGTAAAACAAACAACGAAGTACGCATTATAAGTTTTTTTACATTTACACATGCTCTAAAACAAATAAAGACAACAAAATTATTTTCAATTGATTATTCAACATAAAATATAATCAATCGATTCTGTGTACATTTTTCTTCAGAAACTACTCTCTTATATCAATAGGAAATCTGATGAAATCAGTATCTCTTATTATGAGACATATCATCAAACAATAAGTTTTTTAAATGGTGAATATACATAATATTACATTTATTAGCTTAAAAATTTTCATTCAGAGTCATTCAATGTAAATCTAATATATTTCAACTGAAATCAGCTAAGTTTTTGTCTTTCGAACCACTTTAGTATAACTTTGGATTTATTCATCTATTTACGAAACGCCAGTAGTTTCTTCAAAAATATTCATAAGCACATCAATAACTTTTAAAACTAGGAGCAAAATCGATTTATTTAACTATCGATAGTTCATTCTTCAGCCAAACCACTCCCACATTCGAAATCACCATTGAATACTAAGCGAGAAAGCATTGACTGATAAGGAATCAATCTTTTATGGTTAAATATATTTCACAAAGGGCGTTTTCTAAATTAGTTTTCGATGCTGATTTTTCGAATATAATATCGATTTTGCTCGTAGTTTTAACACTTATTATCGATCTTCTGAATATTTGGTCAACTTCCTAGCATTTGAAAAATTTTATTTATAGTGAATATTCTAGAGAATTTAATTCTCGATTAAGAGTTAACCACAAGTTCTCAGGCGAGACAAGTCATCGTGATTTTTTTAGATAATCAATTTTTCCTACGTTCACTTTTGAGACTTTTACATATTTGGAATCAACATTTTGTAAATCTGTTATAAAAGAACGAATTAAAAAATAAATAGTTAGACAACAAATGATTATACCAGATCTGTGAGATATTAACTAGAGTCTAGTACTTTTCTAGATAGTTGTCTATGTGATTGTTAACCTAATATATTTATCTTAAACTTCTCTAAACAATTAAACTTACAATAAAATATACGGTACAATATGTAATTGTCTTAAATGATTTCTGTCTCTAAATTCCAAAGTAACAATGCTTGATAAATTAATAAGAGATGAAAGATTATCAATATATTCACGTGATTCAATTCTGTAAAAATATCTATAAACTGAATGAAAGAAATAAAAACACAATTAATTTATAAAAAATTACTAATGATTCAATGATATATGGTTACTCACTTAATGTAAATACATTTTTTACAGAAGAGTTTATTGATGGTTTTTCAAAGAAGTATATTAGAAGCGAATTAACATTTTGAAATGGAATATTTGAAGATGATTGAACAGGTTGTCCTTCCATACATCTTGGCATAAAAAATTCTATAGAATTGATGTAAGATTGAAAGCGATGATTATTCGTATCTGATGAATATGTTGATATCATTTCAATTGTGCTACAACATATATTTGTTATTTCATAATATTCATGACGTGGTACGAGATGTTGATAGTTCAATGTGTGCAAAACAATTTCTTCGTCTAAACACAGAATAAGTACTTTAAGTATTTGAGATTGCTGAAAAAAACACATTTGCAGACAAAAAATTGAACGCTTTCTGATTGAAACTTATATTATTAGATTCCTTAGATTAAGTTCTACCAACTAATATACTTTTGATCTCTATTAAACAACATTTCTATACCTTCCTTCGTGTTACATATTAAGAAAGAAACGGCAAGGCTGAAATTTTCTCGTACTTTAAGAATAATCATTCTCATCAAAAACAAAGCAGACATTGAATTTATATCGAAAATGTTAAAGTTCCACAAATAATGTTTATCCTTTAGTTCTGCTATCGTAAAATGAGTTTTTTAAGAATGTTCCTTTTGATATAAAACGAAAAGGACCTCATTTTATTTTAGTTTTGTCAATCAGCAACGACGATGAGAAAAGTGTTCCTTTGTTTTTTTGTTACTTCTACACTCACTGTTAAAGCTCTATCAAACGAACAACATCTTTTCTTCTACTTACAGTTTATGGGCTCTTCAAAGGGTTGCAATCGAGTGACAGCCATATGCCAACCATCATATTGTGTGACAAAACATCGAAATGAGTCAAGAATCGACTGCAAATCGAATAATCCTTTATCTGTAAGAACAGATATATGAATATTGAATTTGTTCAAATATGGAACATGATTTATCAATATTTGTTGCCAAATATTTCCATTAAATAAAATATCAATAAATGGTATATTAGGAATTTTAGTAATAAATGTAAAAATAATTTCATGAAGATTAGGCATACAATGAAGAATAACATCAAGTGAATGTATATCAAACTTTGTTAGGATTTGTAAATCAAATTTTTTTAATGATGCTACTGTAGGTAAATCATTTTTGTTTATAGATAGATGATTTGGAATACTAAACAAAAAAAAACATCATTTTATGTTTCATTTTCTAATAAAATGATTGATTTCATTCGTACTCGTATTATATAAGCAGATGATTGATAATGCTATTTATTTAGACAGTCTTACTTGAAATTGGTATTGTGTTGTGACATATTTGGATGTTTAATTATAACATTCATTTGTCGCAATGATTTTTGTATACGAAGTATGGGAATTAGAAAATAACACAATATCTGATCAAAAGTTTTGCCGTAGAACAATAAATCCAGATAAGTAAGATTTGTATTTATAATTGTAGTTGTTATTAATTGAGAACAACCATAGTGAAATCGAAGAGTAGCGCAACGAAGTGATAATGGTATGTTAAACAAAACAATTTCACTGAATAGATGTGGATGATTTCTGTTCAAGTAATCATATTTAGCATCGCAGGATTGAAATACATGAAGTGATACAAGGTGAGTTTGTTTCTTTAATCGTTTGATGACATTTTTCAGTTTGGATGATTCATCATGACATCGAAATGTGCAGAAACGAAGATTAGGAAAGTTATATTGGTCAAAAAGGTAGGCAATAGTATCTATTTGATCACAGATTTTATCAGATATATCCAACGAAATAACTTGATGAGAATGAAATGTCAGATGATGAGACAGAAATTCAATTTGATAGCGATAATACATCGAATCGACCATTATATGAAGATAAATATATTTTAAAATAGTTGAAATACGTTCATTAAGAGAAGTAAATGCTAAGAATAGATCGAATGCATTTAAATAATCAAAGATTTCACATAAAACTTCGTTCGATAAATCTTCAAATAAAGTTGAATTCTTCATTTCATTGACTGACAAACTGAACTAAGAATTCATAAATATGACATACGTGGTGAATATAGTATAATAAATCAATAAATCGACCAATAGATTAAGCAGTCATTGTCTATGTGACCGATATTGACCACTGATTCATTTCATAACATTTTCGACGATTGAACACAATGGAGAAAAAACAGTATGAGGAAGAGAAATATGGGCATTCATTAAGCTGGTGTTCAAGGGGGAAACGGCGGATTTTTGGGATTGCCAATCTATGAAAAATCCGAAAAAAATCCCAAAATCCACCAGCAATGTCCTTTTGTAAATGAAGGCATTTCGAGCTCAAATTTTTATCATATGTAGGCCTCGTGGTCCTTAAAATATCCTAAAAGTTTCAATGTAAACGAATGTTTTCTTCTTAAGATAATCAATTTTCAAGAAAAGTGGATTTTCTGACCGTGCTGCGAAATATGAGTATTTCTTGCGATCGCATTATCTTCAGGAGAAAACATCCGTTTGCGCTGAAACTTTTAGAATATTCTAAGAACCACAAGA